AGTGGCTCTCGTCGAGCACCACCCATTCGTCCTCGAGTGTGGAGCGCCCGGAAGACGCGCAATGAAGCGCTGCGCTTGCCGCTGAAGGGACTCCGGTGTCTGCCGCGACGGTGCGTTGGTTCTCTCCGCTGCTAGATGGCTCCATTGCCCGCCATATGGGGCTCTCGGTCACGGGGTCAGTCTCGTCACCACCACCTCCGTTGAAGCGTTGATTCCGACCTTGCCCAGCTGTCCTCGCAGCAGATGGCGCCTGTGGCTCGGAGCCGTCGACGCTAACGCGATGCCGCACTCGGACAACGAGCAACACGACGCACTTCCATAGGCAACACGCTCGTCATGACAGCGTTCCCGTCTTCTTGGTAGATGCATGAGCACCCTTTAGATCTTGGTAGCAAAGGTGAAGGAAATGGAACCGAAGGACAAACGGCAAGAATTGGATCGACAATTAGGTTATATGTTACACTTTTATCTACAGGGGCCAATCCCTCACCTTCCTAAGCCGCTGCAGTGTTCTCGTGGGCTCTGCTTGCTTGGTAGATTCGCTCGCTCATGCACTAGGTATATCACACATGCGGTGCTTTACACCATCCGCCACTGTCTTACACCGCAAGGTCGCTGACACCCGAGGGGCTGGCCTCCTTGGGCATGTCCTGCTTGACGTCGTTCGAGTAGCCGTTGGTGCTCGGAGTCGAGAAATCAGACGAGATTTCGAAGGGCACGAGGCTGAACTCGATGGCAGTCACGGAGTTGTCGTCATCCGTGAGGACTGACGCCATGAGCGTAAGCGTCGCGATGTTGCCTGCACCCTGCGCCTGTACGATTGCGCTGATTGGCTTCATGCTGCTGCTGACGGACTGTACGACAGCGTCGAGCTTGCCGTTGTCCAGGCAGAGGCTGGAGCGCAGCGTGTTGACGTCCATGAGGCTGTCCTCGGTCTGGCCGGTTTGTGATAGGAAGGCCGAGTTGACTGCCATGAGCTGCATGTTGAGGTCTACCACGATGCGCGGGGTTGAGGACTGGTCGAAGCAGCGCTTGAAGACAGCGTCCATGGGACCGCCAGTCTGGGCCTGCGAGCGGAAGCTGTCGGCCTGCTTCTCGGCGCGCTCGGCCTTCTGCTTGGCGATCAGGAGGTTGCTGCGCAGCATGCTGATGTAGTGATAAGTGTTATCCAGAATGGACTGCTTGTTCTTCTTGGACTGCACGCCAGCCTCATCCAGCAGCGTCTTGAGCTGGTTGATGCGGTCATTGAGCTTGAACATGCGCTTCTTCTCCTTCATGTTGAGCTCCTCGCGCGAGCGCTTGGAGCCCGCGTGCGAGTTCGACGGCGTCGCACCACCCGCAGAGCCTCCAGAGTTGTAGTCGGTGGATACGTGGAGCATCTGCGCCGTCATGGGCGGAGGCGCGTAGTACTGACCGGGGTGCTGCATGTTCATCATGATCGGCTCGTGGTCAAAGTCGCCCTGCTGGTGCTGCGGGGCCTGCGCCTGGTGCTGCGGCGTCTGCTGCATGTGGTGCTGAGGCGTCATGTTGTTCGGGTGCACGAGCTGGTGGAAGTCGTGCATGCCCGGGCCGTGGTAGCCATTGGCCGAGCCCCCATTGTCGATCGACGTGCCGAAGAGCTTGGGACGCTCGCCACTGTGTTGGTGGTGCTGAGCAGCCGCCTGGTAGTGCGAGTAGCCGTAGTCGTTCTGCAGCATTTTCTTGTCTAGTTAGCAGGCAGAAGGAGTCGAGGTGAGTTGCCGTGAGGTGAGCGACCGGGTGTCGGACTTTGGGCGGAGTGCTGCTGCTGCTGTTGAGCAAGTGAGTGGGACGCGGCCAAATGGAGAATGAGCAGCTGGTAGAGGCTAGCGCCGCCGACAGAGCAAAAGTGATGATAGTGATCATATCGATTTTGGAGAGGAAGCGGTCTTGCCGTCTTATCGCGAGGCCTCTACAGACAAGAAAGCGAGGTGGGCGGCTATTTCTTCCGAGGGAGACTAGGGGCTCCTGCGGCAATTTCCACGGGCTGTGCGGCGCAACCGAACCAGGAGCAGAGCCGAGCCGAGGAGGCTACAGCTGGAGGACGGAAGACTGGAGCGCCTACCCGCCGATAGAACCCGATACTGGCGCCGTGTTCATGGGCAAAGGCGCTCGCTACATGTATCTGCATGGAGCACTCGAGAGAGAAGATCAGTGTCTCCGCGCTGACGGGCATTGACTTTTGCGGCGTGCGTTCCCCATCCTGTACGCAAGCTCCACTGCTCACCCATGCAGCAGCCTCCTTCAAGGTGAAGTTGCCTCGACACATTATTAATAATAACGGGCTCGGGTGCCTGTTTTAGGCCATGTATACCAAGTTTGTTAGCTGCTGAGGACATTCTTTCGAGCTCTTCAGTAGCCAAGACGCCTTCCTGATGGCCTAGACAGCTGCCTGAGACTACCAAAATCGACAATCGGAGCTGGTAAACTGCACCAGCCGGCGCATATAGCACCTACACTAGTTTTTTGGTGTGCAGGGCAAGGCAAGGAAGGCAGAGAGCTCTTCGCATTGTCGGGAATTGAGGCTAGTGCCGTCAAGGTGTCGATGCCCCGCAAAACTTGTCCAGGGTTTGCTGGCTTCAGTCCAGCAAGCGCATTGACGACTGCCATCGCCAATCCTGCAGGATGTCCTTGACATCGGCGCGCCTACGTCACGGCACGTACCCGTGTTGCTCTTGGCGACCGATAGATGAGCCCTTTAACTCGCTGCGGCAGCTGCTTTCCGCGAGCTGCTGTTTGAGGCTGAGTCAGCGCCGCACCGACAGAAGCTGCGCACGGAGTGACTGCTTGTTGCTGGTCGTCATTGCACCACTTCCCGGAGTCTGCATAGCCTCAACACCTTGAAAACTAAGAGCAAGAAATAGGACTGCGCCTTGGAGTGGCATCGTTAATCAAGAGTTGCGAGGTCTTATTGCCATGGGCATACAGCATTTTATGAGTTCTTTATGTGGCATGCTAATCGTGGTGTATACTGCTGCCCAACACGGCGAAAATGCATGAGCAAGTTTGTCATTAATAACAAACCGTTCTTGAGTTTGTCTTTCTTGGACAATCAAAGTTGAATTTATTATGCGGGTCTCAAGGTATGAAAATCATAACAGGATTGGTAGATGGAGAGTCATCAGGATCTTCGTATACTTGTCAAAAACACTTGTTATAAATGACACGCTGCCCTTAAAAAACGAGCCTCCTTACAAACTTCAAGTAATTGTTTGACCTATACGCTGAAGCTCGCAAAAACTCCGTCCTACTTAAACGGATTTTGGTCCTTTTTCTAGGGCAAAAACTGTTGGGGATAGAGCAGCCCGACGGCCATTGAATCATCCGCCAGACGCTTGCCATGCTTTTGAAGCGATTCGGGCTCGGTTGACGTGCGTCTGAAGACGATGGCAGCGCGCACTTGTTCTCTGTCGGCGCGTCCTGGCGCCACCGCAATGCTGGATGCCAGCTCCGGATAGTCGTTCCCCTTGCCTCGATATCCGCTGCGCTGGTGCTTGGTAACTCCGCCACCATGCTGCACGGGGGCGGACCCAGAAGTTGAGACTGCTGTCCGAGAGTTTACAGCTCATGGCCGCTTGTCGAGACAAACAACAGACACAGGTTGCTGAAGCCATTGCGCTTTCTGCTCGAGCATTAATAGACGCCGTTTCGTCCGTCGTCAAAGCGGCATCAACCTGTCACTGCTGTCACAGCTTCAAACTGCACTACATCAGATGCGTAGAGCCGCCACTACAATACAGTTCACTGTCAGCGCAACACTCTCTTCTTGTTCTACATGTCGTGTCAAGGAAATCCGTTGGAAGCCGCTCCTCCACACACGACCAAGTCGTCAGGTCGCCATGGAGAGTCTCACTGAGACGGCCAAGGTGATGTGGTGAGTCTGGCGTGACTTGAGCCGGAACCGCAAGTGCAACCAAGCAGCAAAGCTAGAGAAATCAACTTTTGATCCAGTGATTACCAGGCAGTTAGGCATGCCTTAGGCAACCGTGTCTCGTTGTCCAGCACGGCAAGGCTTGCGGCCTCAGCGCGCGAGTCTTGTCGGAGGCTATCTCCTATCAGAAATTCCCCGTGGCCATAAGCAGGTACTGTATCCATGTCAAATCCTCAATGCAACAACAGCAAAGTTTCCAAAGCTTGGGCAACGGTCAACTTCAACGTTCACGGATCTGCATCAATCCAGCATTTGTTCATTTATCGAGAACTATTTACACATCCGAGTTCTAGTGCAGTTAGTTTCAATTTTCATTCGTACTACTGTCTTCTTGTCACGGTTGCTACAGCGCGACGATCAATAACCGGTTGTGCGTTGGCATGGGGTCTCGTAGCCACTCTTCCTGTGCCATAGGAGGCGCCGCCGAGTCAAATAGCCGGAGTTCTAGTGAGAGTTGGTCCGACGCACGCAGTTCAAGCATCATATCCACGCGCGAGACGCGCCGCTTATTGTCGTACAACGACACCTTCGTTGGCGCGATCTCGCGAGCCCCGCGTTGAGCTGCATCGCCCTCGTCGGAGTTTGCAGGATTTATCACGAGCCGCAGTTGAACCAAACTGTCGTGGCTTACGTTAGCATTCACTTGATACATGCCATCTTTGACAACGGAAATGGACCGTGTCGACCCGCTTTCAGACGTGTCAGTCATCTGGAAGAGCGACTCAGTAATGTCAATGACTTCTTTCCACTCAACAATATACGCACGGGTAGTGGTTGCTGTTACCGGCCGGAGGAGAGACGTCCTCGCGTCGGTGGGAGCACCAGTGGCTAGTGCTTGACACGGCCGAAAGGCCGACATCCAACTTGACTGCACAAACACCCACCTTCTGGCACGCTCTCGTAGACGGTTCTCCTTCTCCTTTGCCACAATAAAAGCCTGGGTCTTCTCTTCGATGAGTTTGGTCACATGACGCTCCATGTCCTCGCTGCTCTCCTGCGGTCGCGAGTCCTGAGTCTCCATCCTCGCTCTCACCTGCGCCTCCACCTGTTGCGACAAACTGCGCTCGTTCTCCTCTTCTAACTGTCGAAGTTGCTCGCACAGCTTGTCCCGATCAGTCTGGACGAGAGAAAGCTGCTCTCTGAGACGTTCCATCTCCTGTGCGAGATGCTGCAACCGCTGGCTTTCAGACACCAGCTTCATGGGGAAATTATGATCCACTCGGAAGAGATCAAGAGCAGGATACGCCACTACCAGCGTCAATCCGTCACCGCCAGAGGCTTCCCCTGCATCCTTCTCTGCAGTAGACGTTAGCAGTTGCACTTCCCCCTTCTCAAACGCAGTTTTCGACTCCGCCGTAGCTCTAGGTTCTGGTCCAACGATCACTACTGCGTCAGACTGACTGCTCAAACACCGAAAAAGCGCTGTAAGAACAGTAGTAGTGGGTACACGTATGTCATTCTTCGCGCCAGGGAGCTCCGTGACATCGACAAAGCTGTACTCGCGCTGCTCATGCGACGACAAATTTTCCATCCAAATCGTGTGAACTGGCGGCTTATCCGCCGACACGGTAACGCGAATGTGGTATTTATTGGCGCGATCTGGAGGCAACTCCACTTGCGTTAGCTCCATGGACACTTGCGCTGAGGTACCCGAGTCCACAGTTTTGCTCTTCGCGAGTTCAGGGGATGTTGTTGGATGAGTCTTTGTCGAAGAAGAGAGGACCGACTGTGGCAACGCTGGCACTGCGGCAGGTGCGGGGTTAACCGTCGTGGCCTCTTCTTCCTTCTGCTCTTCCTGTGAATCTGGTGGTGGTGGGCTTGCAGCCGCTACACGCGTTGGTGGAGAAGACCTGACGCTGTTAGCTCGGGAGTGCGCCCGTGATGGAGGTCGACGTGGAGGTGACTCACCACACTCTGCTACCCCCAGGTCGAAGCTGTTGTCATCGTTATCCGCGCACCCTCCAGCATTGGATTTGTCCGTGTCTTGCAACAGGCATCGTGGCGCCGACTTCGATTTCTTCGCAGTAATTGTCTTAAGGCCTCTAGACTTAGAGCCCGTGGCTGCCCTCATCTTACCGCTGGACTTGTTTGAGCCTTTTGCATTGCCAGAAGCAGCGTTTGAATCGTTCTGGCGCTTCCTTTTTGATGTATGCATCACTCTATTGCGCTTCCTCTGAGACGTTGACAATAACGGACGTGCCTTCATATGATTCTGACCCAGCTCCTCCTCGTCACTATCATCAGATGCCTCGTCACTTTTAGGTATGAGCTTCCCTTTTAACGTAGATTTGGTTTCCTTCTTGGGCTTCGTCTTGGCTTTGGCATTTTCCATCCGCTTGGTTTCTTGAGGCTCTGTATATATAAAAGATTGAGACTTGCCTTTAGGAACCTTCGTAGACCATTGACTGCTTGTAGCAATCTCCAAATCTTCCTTTTCAGATTTGTCATTGGAAGCTTCTTCTGAAGCTGACGACGCCGCTTCCTCTTCGCCCTCCTGATCATCTTCCACATCAATCCCTCCCTCGGTCCACTCCTCGTCCTCCTCGACACTACTAGCAGTGTCCATAGCAGTTCCAGATTCGTCTTCGCTTGAGTCCGAGGACAACGCGATGGGATTATGCGCCGAGTTGCCAATTTTGTGTTCGTCTGACCGCCGACGGTGTCGCTTGTGCTCTCGTCTGAGTCTTGGTGTATTCTCATTGTCGCTACTCTCACTATTCCAGTTGGTCTTGACTTTGCTAGTTCTAGCGCTGCTATTAGTGCGTGCTCGTCGCTTGTTGTGCCGCAGTCCGTTGGCAGTAGGCAGCGGCACCGTCTCCTCCCCGAAGATTTTCATCTTGCGCGCGTATGCCACAAGCTCCGCCTCGCCCAGGAAATAATCTTCGCCCTGCTTGTGCTTCTTATTGCGAGGGTTCTTGCCTGGTTTAATGTAGTAGTGGTCATAGCTCAGCTCTGGCCCTGGTCGAAAGGTCCAACCGAGGCTGGAGAAGTGCTGCTTGACGTCTCGAAAATTGTATACGCCATAGGAAAGCTCTTGGACGCGCGAATAGAAAAGGGGAGAGAGAGGAAGCGTCAGCACAAACGTTGCGTCGGTGGAGGATGCGAAGTCAACTCACCGTGGCGCTTCCGGCGCTCCTCCTGGTCCATTATGCTGTCGATAGGGATCAGCATCACGCCCAGTTAAAAATTGACGAACAGTACCGTGAATAACGGTTTTAGTGTGATGGCTGGTGAGTTGAAGCAGAGATGGCTACACTAGATGCCGATTCGCTGATATTTCAACCAATCCCGTCACGTGACTGCTGGAAGTTGCTCTTCATATTCAATTGCCGTATCTATCTAGCGCCTGCTTGCCATGGACGCCTCTCGCCCTCTACTGGCCGGCGACACTAGCGACGAGGAAGAGCTTGGTGCTCGTTCTCCCGATTGTCTGTCCAGGTACCTGTCGGCTGGCAACGGCACGAGTCTTACCAACGGGAAAACGCCAAGTAACGGGCACAGTGGCAACGGCCACGCTCCCTACTTCGCCTCGAGCGATGGCAAAGGCGACGACGATCTGGACCAGGACAAACGGATACTATGCTGCCGGCCCTGTAGCCAGTGGCCATGCTGGAAGTGGGTCTTTCCGGATCGCATAGGCGACTACGAAGATTTCGCCACGTCAGCTCAGATGGGAGAAATCTATGCACTACGACAGACAGCACGCGAACAATTCGAACCGACGCTGCCAGGTACAGAGCTGAGATGCAACTAGTGGGTTCTCGAGTTCTCGATTGCAGGAGTCTGACACGGCTGCCTCTTATATAGAGGATGATGACATGCTGCAGCACCTCTGGAGCGGCCTGTTCCCCACACTGCCGTACGAAGGACGCGTCAACGTGCGTTGGCGAGACGTGGGCTTCCAAGTGCGATCGACAGTCTTGTCAGCATGCTTCAAGTGTTTTGAACTGATGCTGACACTTGCTGCTCTTTGCGTTCTTGCTTCACAGAACGACGACCCGGCGTCTGACCTCCGCACTTCAGGACGACTGGCGATCCGGATGCTACTCTACTTCTCAGATCACCTCAACGACGAGTTCAAGGTGAACGGCGCATATTCCAAAGTCTTGTTTTCATCTGAGATCCACTCACTGATGTTCACTGCATCGTTGATGTATTATCGTACAGCGAATGCTACGTGAGAATCGCTTCCCTGTGTGCTTGTGCGCACTGAATCTGCTGGAAATGCTGCTGTGCCACTTGAAACTCAAAGAGCCGCTTCCACTCGTGTGTCCGTGCTGCGGTACGGAAAACGCCGAGCTCGAGACATCCCAGCAGCCCAGTCGGTCACACCCGGAGCTGCGTGGGTTTGTAGCTCTCATGGGGGACGCATCCTCGCTCGCGTCATCGGCCTTCTCTCATCAATTAGCGTGCGCAGAAGGTGGACCAGCCGAGATTGCGCTTGCACACGTGTTCGCGCACTCGTTATTAGTGATGGACGCCGTGTGGAAGCAGCAGCTACAGCGAGATCCGACCACAACGTTGATGCATTTCCGAGAAGCTCTGGTAGAGACAAGAGTGCGGATTGTGGCCTTCCTGTCACGTCGACGCCTGCCCCTGACACTTGCAGAGCTCGATGTCTGGGGCTACCGACAACGAGCACGTTGCCGCAGTTTCCGCAAGGCCGCGTAAGTACGTCAGTTGTTATATTAGCTAGTACCGATAACTAATAGCGATCAAAGCACACAAACAGCGAGTAGGGTGGATTTATCTATGCATCAGGGGTTTACTGCACGCTCCAGTCGATGGGCTCCTTGCCATGCTCTTTGAGGTAGCTATTGGCACGTGAGAAGCATTTGGAGCCAAGGAAGGGAGCGTTAGTTTTCGTGGCTCCTAGTGGTGACGGGTGTGACGAGCGCACCACCAGATGCCGCTTGGAGTCGATCAGCGCGCCCTTCTCCTGCGCAGGTTTCCCCCAGAGCAAGAAGACGACGTTGGAGGCGTCTTTGTTGACCTTGGAGATTATGGCGTCCGTCAACTGTTCCCAGCCGCGTTTCTTGTGCGAGTTCGGTTCACCTCGACGCACTGTGAGTACCGTATTGAGGAGGAGAACTCCCTGACGACTCCAGCAAGACAAGCAGCCGTGGGTAGGGCGATCAATTCCCATATCGTTCATGGCCTCCTTGAAGATATTCTTGAGACTCGGAGGAGGTGGGACTCCGTGACGCACCGAGAAGCTTAAGCCGTGCGCCTGCTGCGGTCCGTGATATGGGTCCTGACCCAGAATGACTACTTTCAGGTCGGAGAAGGCGCAGTCTCGCAGCGCCGCAAACACGTCGGCAGGCGGTGGATAGATGGTCTTCTTGCGACCTTCCTCTCCCTCCAGGAATCTAGTCAGCGTCTGGAAAGAGCCACGCGCAAACTCTTTCTGCAGCAGATCGAACCACGATTGGTGCATGAGTGAGCGGAGTTGTATCACTTTCTGCAGCTCCACGAAACTCGTCACTGGCAGAATCTCGCCATCGTCTTGCTCCTGGTCTTGCACAAGACGTTGCACGGCCTCAACGCCGCTGATGATCGGTTCGATCTCGGGCATGACTGGCTTGGGCTTGTCGGAACCCACATCCTCCTGCGTCGTGCGGCGCTTCTTAGCCGGCGGCTGCGCTGCGAAGAACGAGCGGATGTCGCGCGTGGCCCCTGCCATGACTGTATTGCTTCCGATTGTGAGCAATTTGGCTTAACTTATTAGAAAGGATTTTTTTATTTTATCTAACTTTATTAAAATAATATTACACTATCCAGTGAATCACTTGTACTCGGTCATCTGTGTACTTGTTCCTAGCTGGTAAGCCAATAGTAGGCAAAGCGCTCGAGTTTGTTGCTGCTCGATCCTAGCTCTGCTGCCTCCACATCAACACTGGCCCTGTTTTTCCTCGATAGTTCAAGATTCTCTAGCGGCGAACAAGGTCTTGGCAAAATGCTCCGAGAAAATGATGACGAGCGACTGGATTCGTCTGTTCAACCCTCACTAAGTGCGTCAGGTACCTTATAGTGCCCTGCGCGACGGGTTGACCTACCCGGTAATCTAGCTGAATACGGCGCAATCCGCGGAGGGCACTCTGTCGCTGTTGCGGGTAATGGGTTAGAGACCTGCAACTATGGCGCTGAATATTGGCAACCGTCGGAAGCCGGAGCCGACCTTCACAAGTGGAAGAAAAATCTTTGCAAGGGATTCGGGGCGAAAGACATCAGTATGGGAAGGCAACCGGTGGCACGGACGGCGGCTCAAGCGGCGAGTCCGGCGATGAATCCGCTCCCTGATACACTATCGAAGGGTGGTGGTGGGGACTAGGGTCCTAACAGAGACGATTTCGCCAAGGGCAAAGTATTGTCGCTCTTCCAAGACCCCCACGTGATTACTCCACGTTCTGTAAGCTGCGTACGACGTCTTGCAACTATCCTGATAGCGAGAGTTCGTACGTCGATCATGGCACGAGGTCGAGTCGGAAGACGCGTACGCTGTGGTCGTCGACCCTTCGCGGCGATCATTCGTCCGACAGTGACAAAGAGTATTGATACCAAGTGGGCGAGGATTCTCGAGAAAACTCGCCCTACAGATGGAAGCCTGTGCGATGCGAGCACGAGAGTGCCAGGGCCTCGAATTGAGTTGACGTCGCATTGCCCGTTGGACCGGATCAAGCTATTCAGCGAGCGACAATTCGATGCAATGGCTGAAGACCTTCGTCTCGTCTCCGAGATGATAGGGACTCTCACACACACCGACGAGTGGTACGCTGCTTCGAGCTTAGTCAGCGCAATGGGTCTGTGGTGTTTTGAATTTCAAATAATCACGAGGGTGGATGCTTTCGCGTTGCCTTGAGGAGACGCAGGGCGCGTCACCGGACTGCTCTCCAAGTGCCGATCACTTCTAAGAGTAGGTGTCATTACGACATACTTACACTTATGTAGTAATAGATAATAGAGCAATCAAAATAAGACGTAACCACAGTAAGTGCCGGGCAAAAGGCCACGACAGGGCAGCAGTACTGGTGTGGGTTTTACTCCTCACTTGGGTTCGCTGAACCGCAAATTGAGTTGTGTGAAGAGAGAGCAAGCCTCGCCACGCAAGCCAGTACGCCGCGCCGCTAGTTCTATTCTATATAT